GGTATAACGACACTTCGCGAATAACGACACTTTTTTGATGCCCCGCCGTGTGTCGTTATAAGCGAAGTTGACTGTTCTGTAAAACCGGAACGTTTTAACGACCAAAAAGTTAAACGTTTTTTGTAATTTGGCATGATAATGTGCAGAAAGTTTAACGATGGCTACCTGGCTACCCATCTGTATGCGCATCTTTACACAGGAAACTCGCCATATAAAAAAAATTGGTCGCTAAAACGTTAGACTTTGTGACTCGTTAGACTTTCCGGTTTTACAGTACTTGATCTTCAAACACCACTGCACCGGTATTCTACTTGAAAAGTAATGGTATGAAAGGCCTAGTCGGGACAATAAATATGGCTGCTGTGTTTCGTGTGTTGGTTTGCTTCTCTCCAACCAAGAATCTACGGGATGGATTGTAAGGGTGCGTTCTTATAATTCTCTAGCTTCTAGAAGAAGAAGGAAAGAGAAGTCGAAGAAACTGGGATTACTCAAGAACGGGTCTCGAAGAATTCGGAGATATTTTGTACATGTCAAGCAAAATGAAGCGTCAAAGGGGCCGCGATCTTGAGTGATGAATGTATGTGCGTATGCGAAAAGGGAAATGCGTACACTCATGATCAACACGTGGCGTTTAGCCGTAATTCGCATGCGCTGATCCCAAACCGCGGGAATCTCCAAGTTTCAACCACCTCTGAAGCTTGGAGAGCTCGGAGAGCTTTGGAGAGCCTCCTAAAAGTCGGAGAGGATATAAGAACAGCTCTCGAACTTTTCGGAGAGGATTTAAGAACGCATCCTAAATAGACTTCCTCTATAAGCCAGCACAATGAAAGAATGCACAGACTACACACAAGTTCAGAAAATAACAAAAAAATGTAGATAACAAAAAAGAGTCTGGTTCGCTTTGTTAAAACCTTTTGAGCCCGGGCCCATTGAAAACCTCTGCCACGCAGTAAACATTTTAAATTCACTCTATGTGAGCAAACTTGATTTCAAACGATTCTTTCATGTATCCTGAGCGCAGAACTGTTTTTGTTTTGGAAATACAACAAAGATTACAAAAGTTATGACCGTTTTCATGGGGTAGTTTTACGCGAAATTGGTATTTTGAAATGTATGCACACGCATGTAACTCCAGTTCAAACGAACGGAGTGACTCGCATTTTTTTGTTACTGTACTCGTACATCCTAGGAGTCCTCTGTGCAGCGGTACAGCTCGACGCCACGCCACGGCAGAAACGCGGTATCGATGTAGTTCCGCACTGACTCGTGACGTTCTAGAACGTCACGCGTGTCACAGTGCAAGTGGCAGTGGTCATGACGTGTCAGAACGTCACGCCTGCTCAAAAGGTTAACTATGTTCAAATAATTATAGTTGCTTCATGTTCCTTGTTGTCTTCTCCAGCCATCTGGAGTACAATCAGATCTCATCGGTCAATGTTCTTGCCTTTGCTGGCATGATTAACCTGAAAACTCTGTGAGTCCTGCGTGTTTGTTTGCTTGTGAGTGTGTGTGTGTGTGTGTGTGTGTGTGTGTGTGTGTATGTGTATGTGTGTGTGTGTGTCCCATATGGTGCAGTGGTATGTGCAGTCGATTTCTAATCGAGAGGTTGCGGGTTCAATTCCCGACGATTATGGTCACACACGTCTTTCTTCTCTTTCTCGGACTCTTCCTGACTTTTCTTTCATTCTCCTGGGTGGTTACCAACAGCCAGTGTATGCTGGAGTATGTGGTGTGGTGTGTGTGTGTGTAGAAAAAAATGGAAAAATGAAAAATAGAGATTCGCTGGCCAGAAAAAGTCACTTCAAACAGCTGTGTGGTGGATACCAGGCTAAAAATAGTGGCGGTCAATTCATCAGCCTTGCAAGCTGTTGAATGGTGTAATCCCAGCACAAGTTGCTATGTCTAACATAGCTGTTCGCTATCATCGCTTCCGCAATGGGCATGTCTGAGGTGAGGTGTGTGTGTGTGTGTGTGCGTGCGTGCGTGCGTGCGCGCGCGCGCGCGTGCGTGTGTGCATGTGCGCGTGCTTGCGTTAATGTGTGTGGGAGAAAGGGTTCTACTTACATATTTTATGCAGAAGTGAAATATTTGTTAATGGGATCTGTAAGCAGTTGTATAGGCCAGGAGATTTCCGATTTCAATTTACTTACAGGCTTTATTATCCAGACTTGTTACAATGAGTAGGGACCTGTAGCAGCAACAAAGCTTTACTGTCTCTTTCCTGTGTCTGTATACGGCTCTGCGCATACTTTTCTGGACATTGAAATCCGTTGAGATGTCAAGCAGCCACGGTGCCCTGGTCTTGCAGCCGTGAGCACTGCTGGTCTATTTTTCCCAGTTTTTACGTGTAAATAGTAGACATTTCGTGTGCTTTTAATAATAATCATAATTATAATAATAATGACAGTTCGCATATCACTCATTGCATGAGGTCAATGCATCTGTTGACAATTTCGAGCCACGCAGCTGTATCAGAAGCAGATTGCACAGCATCCAGAAGCGAGAGATTAGTGCACTGTAAGTCTTTCGTGACGACGTCGGTCCATCTCAGACGTGGTCGTCCGCGGGGTCGTCGTATGTCTGTTGTGTCGATTGACATTTGGAGGGCTTGGAAACTTGGAAAGAGGACGATTCTGCGCCTTCCCTCATTACATGTGTGCTTTTATGACTGTCTTATTTTATTCCCTTTAGCCTACTAGTATTCTGCGTTTGCATGCGCCTGTTCACCTCATCGGCCTCGCTCATTCCTCATTTATTTTGTTCATTTGGCTTTCAGGCGACGGCTAGCCAAGCTTGCTTGGCGATGGCAACGCGAACAAGCACACTAATAGCACGTGCACTAGAGTACATGTGCATGGTGCGTGTATGTGCCGAGGCAATCCATGTAAGGGTGCCGGCCCCGGTCATTCGTACCAATTTCAAAGTCCATAGCAGCAGGTGAATCAAGCACTCAGTCGAGCTGCTGCAACTCTCTCTCTCTCTCTCTCTCTCTCTCTCTCTCTCTCTCTCTCTCTCTCTCTCTCTCTCTCTCTCTCTCTCTCTCTCTCTCTCTGTGTGTGTGTGTGTAACCGTCTATCTATTAATCTTTCTCTACCTGTCAGGTTTCTGGACAATAACCAAATCGCCTACCTGCCCGGGGCTCTCTTTGAAAGCTCGCCACATCTTCATTTCTTGTAAGTGAAAATTTGGTTGCCAAGAGAATCTGGGACAAGTATACACAGCACTCTGATCAGCTATTAACCTTCCCCAATATTTGAAAAGGACCCCCCCCCCCAAATTCCCTGTTAGGGTCGTTTGCCTTCCTTCTGGTCTGTCTGTCTCTCTGTCTGTCTACCTGTCTGTCTGTTTGTGTGTCTGTCTGTCTGTTTCTCTGTCTGTTTGTCTGTTGGTCTGTCTGGTGATTATGCCGAACTGTCTATCTGTCTGTCTGTCTGTCTGGAGGATATGCCGAACTGTCTGTCTGTCTGTCTGTTTGTCTGTCTGTCTTTCTGTCTGTCTGTCTGTCTGTCTGTCTGTCTGTATGTATGTATGTATGTCTGTCTGTCTGTCTGTTTGTCTGTCTGTTTGTCTATCTGTCTGTCTGCGCATCTAAGGCGCACTTTCTTAATGAAATTCATGGATGAGCAGGGTGGATTAAAGGAAATTCTGACATGTATGTGTGGTGTTTTGCCGTGCAGGCATCTTTCGTCCAACCGCCTGGAGACGCTGACAGCTGGATTGTTCAAGCCCTTCTCTAATGTTACTATACATGTGTACGTGCATGGGCAAGATGATATTATCATTCTTTGTTGTAAACCAGACGTACCCCTATTTTTTGGGACACCCCCCCCCCCCCCAAAGGCTAGAGCCTGTCGAGCAGGTTTCCACAGTGAAAATATATAAATAAAAAATCGATAGCAGATACGAGTATATCCTGAGTGGAGAAGGAATACAGTAAGATTCTTCGCCGTGTATACAACAGTACGAAATGTTGTCGTGGCGCGTGGGCTGTACCAGCCGACATCAGGCATCGGGGCCGGTACTCGCGCGTGCTAGATCAGTACTTTTTTTTTAATTTTTTTACAAAGAACACAAACCTGGCTCAAGACAAAGAAATAAGAGCAAGAAAGATAACAAAGCTGCATGCAAGGAGAACAAAGAAACGACTAGAACACACAGTACATTTTTTTCAAACTTTGGAGCAGGGTGCAGGTTTTCGCGCTCTGAGGCTCCCACAGTTTCTCGCCAGGAAACCGGCATCAGGCCGGCCTGGTTTCAAACATTAGGTATAGTAGTAGTAGTAGGAAACTAGGTAGACATCGGATAGCTTTGGCCTACCTCCGCCATGCCTCCAGCAAAAGCTGCCGTTCGCGGGCTGACGGATTCGGAGGTAAAATTGTTGTGCTCCCTTCCCGGGATCGAGTCTTCGATTTTAGACGTAGTAAAGACGCTGGCAACATTTGTGACGGAGTCCGCAGACCGCGAGACACGACTAAAGAATAGGATCGATGATTTATCGAGGCAAATTGCAGGCCTGAACGAGGAGGTTGTCGCCCTCAGGGAGTCCGCCATTGTCGCAGCAAGTGCTTCTCCCCTGACTCCTCCAGCAGTTGCCCACAACCAGCACAGCCAGCGTACGATGGAGAGTACAGCGGGAAGGACCAGCAAGCGTACCCGTACTCGCGCAGGCCAGGCTGCCACGTGTACCACTGATGCAGACGAACACCGTAGCACTTCCCGTAGCGTGGGTGACCCTGCCAGTGACCATGAAACGTCAACCGAGGATGAGGACAAGTCCCAGGCAATTGAGCGGCCCACTGTCAAGCCCAAGCCACTGAAGCTAGAGCCAATCACGGATGACACGTGGAAACTGGTATCAAACGAACCTCACAGAGTGAAGAAAGCCGTAATCTATGTGGGCAATTTGAACTTACATAGCAGTGAAGAAAGTGTCAAGGAATTCACTGAGCAACGCTCTGCAGCAGTAAACAAACTGGTGAAGGTTCACCAGTGCAGCATACACACCACAGAAGATGGGAAAGTGTCTGCCCGCTTGATGATCGATGCGACTGACCTTGAAATCGCCACTGCTCCAAACTTTTGGCCTCGCCCACTGTACGCGCGGGTTTGGCGCCACCGTGAGCGTCCGAAGGGGGACACCTTGTCCGGCTCACACAGTGACACTCTCAGTGATGCTCCAAAGGGGGACACCTTGTCCGGCTCACACCGTGACGCTCTCTCCGAGTCCTCCGACACTCAAGCTCAAAGCTCCAATTAGATCCTTTCGGATCCTGCTGACGAACACATTTGGACTACTGAGTAAACTTGGTGACTTTCACCATGCTGTACACGTTCACCAACCTGACATTGCCATTGTCACAGAGAGCAAGCTAACCCCTGAGAAGGCTACTGATTCCGAACTGTCCTTGCCTGGGTACTACTCCCCACTGCGGAAGGATCGAACGGAGGAGGAGTTGCGGTTTGGGTTAAAGCCAGTCTGGCCCTCCGAGAACTCGATGACATCCAGGTCGGTAATGAGGAGCTAATATGGCTGAGTGTCAGAACTGTGGATAAGAAGTCAGTGGCTGTGTGTGCTGCATATCGCTCTGGCTCCTGCCACGACAATGACATCAGTACCCTTGAAGCCATCAGTGCTGGCATTGACCTGGCCCGTAAATCTTGTCAATATGTGGTATTGGCTGGAGATTTTAACGTACACAACGTGGATTGGCTCGACAGCACCAAGACAACTCACGCAGGTGTGTACACTGAAGACATGTGTGCTTTTCACTGCTTGGAGCAGCACGTGCATGAGCCCACCAGGGGCCTTAACCCACTCGACTTAATAATGACTGACCTACCGGGAGATGCGTCCGTCAATACCTTAGCACCTCTGGGAAACTCTGACCATGCCTGTGTCCTAGCTGACTTTCATGTAAGCACAGCAGAGGAACCACCAGTGACCAGAACTGTCTGGCGTTACCAACGCGCAGACTGGGACAGACTCCGCCACTTCTTTAGAACAACAGATTGGCAGTCCACTGTCAGTGATGATCCTGATGCAATGTGTATGCACTTGACCCAGAATATTCTGGAAGGAATGCGCCGATACATACCGTCTAAGCAGTTGTGCATGAAACCATCTAACCCCTCTTGGTGGACACCGGAATGCACTGAGGCTGTAGCACAGAAACAAAGAGCATGGAGGAGACTCTGCGCCGACCGGTCAAGTGCCCAGCTGCAAGTCCGTTACAATGTCACCAAGCACTCGGCTAACCATTGCCTGGCAACTGCCAAGCAGGCATTCACAGCAAGCCTGGCGCAGAAGTTAGCCTCTGGGTGTATGGCGTCTGGTGAATGGTGGCGAACCATCAAGAAGGCCTCTGGCCACGGAAACAGCCCATCCATACCTACTCTCCGCAGCACCGATGGTACGGAGCACGACACCAACCGCAGCAAAGCAGAGTGCATGGCCGAACACTTCGCCAACAAATGCAGTCTAGGGGCAGACGACCTATCCGCTCCATTTCCTTACGTCCGACCACGTACTGACCGCAACCTCTGCACCGTCCGGTTTCGCGAGACCACAGTCGAGCGAACTCTCCGCCAGCTCAACCCCACCAAGGCCACTGGTCCAGATGGGATACCTGCCCGCGTCTTGAAAGCTTGCTCTGCAGAATTGGCACGGCCGCTTTCAAAACTATTTACATGCTGTCTTCGCTCCGGCATCCAGCCACAACAGTGGAAGGTTGCAAACGTAGTTCCAGTCCACAAGCGCAAGTCTAAATCGTCGCCATCAAACTATCGACCAGTGTCGTTACTGAGCATCCTCTCCAAGGTCATGGAGACCATAGTCAACAGGGCAATGAGCAACTTCATGGAGACGACTCACGTCCTATCAGAACGTCAATTTGGCTTCCGTCGCGGCCACAGTGCAGCAGACCTGCTGACTGCTCTCCACCACCAGTGGGTGCACACCGCCGGAGATAAAGGAGCTTCTCGAGTGCTGGCCATCGACATTGCTGGAGCATTTGACCGGGTGTCTCACACTGGTGTGTTGCACAAGGCTAGAGTGTATGGCATCTCGGGAGACCTGCATCGGTGGCTCCAAGACTACCTCTGCAACCGCACACTTCAAGTCCTCATCTCCGGCCAGACATCAGCCAGACGCCCAGTTAAGGCTGGGGTGCCACAGGGCAGTATCCTGGGCCCCACCTTATTCTTGGTCTACGTCAACGACCTTGAAGACCACCTCCCAATCGGCTCCAACCTTGCCTCATTCGCCGATGACACAACCCTATACGCCGAAATTGCAACGCTCGCTGCTGTTCCTGACAACGCTAGAGTACTCCAGGCTGCTGTCGACCTAGTATCCAGTTGGGGCTCGGATTGGAAAGTGCAGTTCGAGCCAGCCAAATCTCAGGCCCTTACCATTTCCCACCATCGTCGGGACTGGCCAATACCCCCCATTGTCTTCAATGGAACTCCTGTCGAGGAGCAGCCCTCCATCAAAGTACTCGGCGTCATGTTTGACCATCAGCTAAAATTCAGCCAGCATATCCGAACTGTTGTAGTCCGAGCAACGCAGAGACTTGGAGCCTTGCGCAAGGCATTTCACTTGCTGACTATTCCTGCCCGGCTTCGAGCCTACAAAGCCTTTGTCCGGCCGGTTATGGAGTACTGCCCAATCGTCTGGATGGGGGCAGCTCCTTCCCACTTGAATCGGCTGGACTGGGTGCAGGAGCGAGCCATCAAGGCAATACATCCGCAATGCTGGCTTCCTAGCCTCATAATTCGCCGCACCATCGCTGCCCTCTGCCTCCTGTATAAAGCCCTTTGCGATAATTCTCCCGCTCTTCTCTCGAGAATGGCTCCACCCCCGACACACCAACCCAGGACCACACGCCTCACCCGCCAGGCTGTACGACTGTCCACCGTGCATCCCCATCAGTTACAGAATGTTCTTCCTGCCAATTCCCGGAACAATGTGAGCCGAGCCTTTCCCCACTCCGTCATCCCAATTTGGAACCAGCTGCCTACCTCTATCATTCCCCACCCATTTCACCCAAAGAACATCCAAAAGTTCAAGACAGCAGCTTATCACCATCTCCTGAGAACGAACTGGCACTGGGCCACTCATAGCATACGCGAGTAAGAGGGTACAGTGTCCTACCCTGCTTGGACATACATGTAATCTCTCCTCACGGACAGTCTCCTCTTGAATTTAAAAGTCTAACAGCGTTCACATCAATACTCAACTTATTCTTTTGCTCACTGAGCAATACAATCTTTCCATTTTCTTTCTTCTGTTTTCTTTTTCAATTTAATCCTCCTACCCAATATCCCTTTGGTGCGTCCATGGAGCTATGAAGCCGAGACCTCTGGTCGGCGGAGCTTAATGGGCCCCACCACCACACTCCATCGTTCACCCCAGTGTCTGGAGTTATGTGGATTTTGTAGAGAAAAAAAAAGAAAAAAAAACAGAAGTGATGTAATACTTTTAAAGGTTATCGTAGCCGACATGGGTATTGCGTGCAGTGTGCGTGACCTCTCGTGCGTATGCAGCACTACACGCCAATCATGTCTAACATGCGCAGCAGAATGCCGATTATCTGAACGTCAACTATCCGAACGATCAAATATCCGAAATGCCGCATTCCATTGAGTGCGGCTAATCGGCACTTTAAATGCACATGCAAGGCGGTGGCAGCACGTCATAAGGCAGAGGACACACTGTACGGAAAACAGTGTTCCTGACTGCAACCATAAACCGGTTGGTTTCCCATGCAGTGTGTGTCCTCCGACTTGGCACATGCTGTCGGCGTCATACATGTTCATGTTAAAAACAGTAACGCCAATGATTGTAGTGTAATTAAAGGGGTTGATGAAAAAATTGCAGTGTAGCCAATTTATACATACCTACACTGGATTTGCATTGCATTTTGAATTATCCATGCATCATTAATCGCAAGCATATAGAGCACGATGTATTGAGAGTGCGCTGGCTGTATTTTTTTTGTTACGGTTCGGGTGAGACTCAGCTGGACTGAGCATTTCGCATCCACAGGAACGCCACCATTCTCTAGGATCAAGGGGCAGATGCAGCTCTTAATTAAAACATATTCAGTGCCAAAGACGTATAATTATAACAGTTACACGTCGTTGAAAATGACGCCCAGGTGCTGAGGACATATACGTCTTTCCCAAAGCCAAATAAGGAGTGCAGAGCCTGGGTACCATGTCCTGTGGCCTTTTAAAATGGGTTATTATAAAAGGCTGACTTATGTGGTATCATCTGTGTGTGTGTGTGTGTGTGTGTGTGTGTGTGTGTGTGTGTGTGTGTGTGTGTGTGTGTGTGTGTGTGTGTGTGTGTGTGTGTGTTGTGCGTGTTGTGTTGCAGGTATTTGGATGGTAATCCGCTGAAGAAAGGTTACCACCTGTGTTGCTTGGTGCCGGCTAGAACGGACCAGGCACAGCGAGGTTCTGTGGTGGCTCTGGGCCTAAGTCGGGAGGTGGAGGACTTCTTCACGGCAAGTAAGAAGATTGTGCTCGGCCTCGCTGTATGTGCGCACAATGCCGATAGGTTGGCACTGAAAGTACGCTTTGTTTCGGGTGACTCGACCGACCGATGTTGCAAGCGCTGGCCAACATTTAATATGGCGGGGGGTATGTATTAATACGTGTACGTACGTACCAGTGAATGCGTGTATGCCCCAGTGGATTTATCGGCCAACAGGGCACGTTTTAGCGCTCTACAGGCGCTCTGGGCGGACTACCCTTGACGAAAAGTGGTACAAGTTGTACTGGTCGTGACGCGCCTGGGTCTTGTCTGCTATTGTTGTTATGAGAGGAAATCTGTGGGCGTACATCCAGTTCAGCTTGCCCCTCTTGCAATGAGTGTACATGGTACAAGTCATGTGTGTGTATGCATTTGTGTGTGTGTGTGTGTTTGTGTGTGTGTGTGTGTGTGTGTGCGTGCGTGCGTGTGCATTGGTGGTCGATTCGTGCGCGGGCACGCGTGTACACACGTGGCAGATGTGACCCATGCTGTCTGTGGCAGTGGTTGCACGACCGTGCCCGCCAGCTCATTGACGTGCCCATCAGGCGTGCAGTGCCGAGGAACTGTCAGGGAACACACCTGTCCAGCAAAGTCACTGTGTGAGTACTGTGCACATGGGGTTATCCACTCAAGCTCTACAAAATATAATACTCTTAACCGCGAAAAATGTACTTTCTATCAAATAATGCAACTCCTACACATATAGCTGTGTGATTACGAACATCAGTGGCGTAGCCAGGGGGGGTGCTTTGGGTGCCCAAGCACCCCCCTCAAAAATTTCAGGTACCATTTTCGTACTGCTGTGGATCTACGCCCGCCCGCGATCGAGACTCGACGTCGACAAGATCGACGCCACACGACGCTGCGCTGCACGACGGGGCCCGGCCAACTGTATTACACTACTAGTAGCGCATGCAGGTTGCACTTGAGACTGCATGCATGGCTGCACATGCAGTCATGTTCTCGCCGGTGACAGGCGCAGTAGTGCTAAATTATTAATTTTTAGTACAATGTAGTACTACCGGTACTGTAATTTGAACTAGTACTACCGTGGTAGTATAGTTGTGTGTAGATCTTTGCCTTTGAATGTGAGTTTGGTCGTTTTCGGATGCACTGCGCATTGTACAACTACCGGTATATAGACTCGCACTTTGTGTAGCTAGACTTGGTAGAAGTGAAAGAGAAGTGTCAACGTCGTTTTGTGATCCGCAAGTCGAATGGATTCTTATGAAAATGTCGATCTTGAAGTATTTTAGTCGAGGGAAGTCGAAGAGACCAGATACCAGTAGCAGCAGTGCCAGTGCCAATTGTCTGTATTATATTCTGGGTCTAACCACACCCTGTCAATCTCTTACCATCCAACTTCTGTAGCAAAGTACTGTGCGTTTCATACGATTATCTGACTTTTTATTGAATCATTGGTGGAATGGAAAATAATGAAATAGATGCAAAAATGAAGGATTTGGCACTCAATATCGAAAATTTTTCCGGGGGAGGGCCCCCGGACCCCCCCCATTTTTCGCGCCCTTCCGGCGCACGCCCACACTTCCAGTAAGCACCCCCCTCAGCCACAATCCTGGCTACGCCCCTGAACATTGCTCATGTGTTTCCGCTGATACTGCTAGCTGCTAATGTTCAGCATTTGCAGCAGCTGCTGTTGCTGCTGCTGTTGCTCATGCTGTTGTTGCTGCTCCTGCTGCTGCTGCTATTTCTGCTAATGCTGCTGCTGTCGCTGCTGCTGCTGTTGCTGCTGCTGTAGTTGCTGCTGCTGTTGTTGCTGCAGCTATTGCTGTTGCTGTTGCTCATGCCGTTGTTGCTGTTTCTGCTAATGCTGCTGCTGCTGCTGTTGTTGCTGCTGCTGCTGTTGCTGGTGCTGCTGCTGTCGTTGCTGCTGCTGTTGTTGCTGCAGCTGTTGCTGTTGCCCATGCCGTTGTTGCTGCTGATGCTGCTGTTTCTGCTAATGCTGCTGCTGCTGTTGCTGATGCTGCTGCTGTCGTTGCTGCTGCTGTTGTTGCTGCTGCTGTTGTTGCTGCTGCTGCTGTTGCTGCTGCTGTTGCTGCTGCTGTCGCTCCTGCTGCTGTCGCTGCTACTGCTGCACTTGTTTTTGCTTGTGTGGTTGCTCGAAGTTGTTCGTTAGTATGAAAAAAACCACAGTTGCCGAGGAAAATGCACGACCCAACTTCCCCTGAGAAACTACCGACACATTCTGGGAGGAAATAGTGATAAAAGATACTTCTGTTATTCTTTTACTACCTATGGTTCACAAACTTTGCTTCTTGTCTGCTTTTGCAGCGACTGCCGCTGTCTGTGGAACGGACCTGACGACGGTATCGAACGGCATGCTGGTGGCGCGGCCAAGCGGGACAAGTGCTGAGTTGTACTGCAAGCGTGGACACCGGGTGCACGGCGAGAGCGTGTATACATGTGCCGCCGCGGAGACAGCGGCGGCGGTGGCTGCTGGAGGCAGTGCCGACCGCAATGCCTCCTGGGTTGGCAGCGGCACATGCCAAGGTATGGTGCACAATCTTACATGGCACAAATAGAAAAGCTAGCTAGCCCCCTGACTTGTATCGTATTGTGGTGTATTGTATTATGTTTGTTTTATTTTGTTGTTTATTTTGTTGTTGTTTTTCTTTATATTTTACGAGCTCGTACATCGCAAGTCAAACCGGCAATCATGCCCAATTGTAATGCAATGTGCAGTAAAACCCGCGCTAGCTGGACGCTCCAGGTGCAGCGGAAACAGTCCTGATACGACAGGATTCCGCTTGGTCCATGGATGCACGCTCAATCCATAAGACTTTGCCGCGGGTGCATGACAAATTGTCCGGTCAATACAGGATCCCGCTTGGTAAAGGGTTCGGCAAGCACAGGTTTTTACTGTATTTGCACTCCACTATGTCATAACAGTGTTAGGGTTACATGACGGCAGTGCATCCCGCCGGGAAGTGAGATCCGTGGTTTCTCGTAAAAAAGAGAGAAAAAAAAGTGAAGCATGTGATCCCGAGGGCTTGCCGTGATGCGGGGGAAAACGAAAATCGATTCACATGGCAGGATGCACGTACAGTACCTGTATTACAAAAAAGTTCACGGAATGCCACGGCATGCACCCCCCCCCCCCTCCAGTCGTCTCACAGTACCGGGACCATATCGGGATAGCTCGCAGGATACGTTCGCTGCAAATATTTGGGTGCACGTGACTGAATCTCCATGGCAGCATCACGTACGGAATGAAACCCGCCGTCGTGAAAATAGCCGTTTAACGTTATCTTGCCTTGTGTTTGTTTCTGCAGAGGCCAGCGAATGCATGACACTGTCTAGCCTTCTCATCATCATCATCCCGTCGGCGTGCGGCTTTCTGGCGCTGAGCGTGTGCGTGTGTGGTGTCTTCTGCCGCTGCAAGCACAGGCCGCCCGCCGAGCTGGCGCTCCCGCCGGCCAAGCGCCAGGCTCTGGAGGAGCACGGCGGCACGATGGGCATCTCCATGTGGAACGATCAGGGATGCGATGCGCCCAGCGCCGGACCCGCTAGCGGCTCCAACTCCACCGGCCGCGGAGATACAAGCGCTCCGCATTCGGTGACGCATCGCGACAGCACCGGCACCGACCACAGCAACCCGTACGTCACAACAACGATAAGCACCCTGTCAAGCAAGGGGTTTGACCGACGGCGCAGTGCCCCAGGCAACCCAAGAGGCTCTCAGTCCGCTCCGTCCAAGGAGGAGAGCCAGGAGCAGCCGACGCACAGCCCGACCCAATACTCCAGCGCCAGGCGCCGGGCCGAGAATAACCCACCGCCAGTTGCTGCACGCCGATCGCACATCGGTGCAAGCGCGACGGTGAGTGACGGAACAAGCGTGTCAGTAGGCAGCATGTCAACCGGTGACGCACGCATGCCTCGCATGTCCTTGCCATCAGTTCACAGCTCTGGCAACCAAAGCCCGACTGAGCACTCTAACAAGTTCGCGAGTGGTCAGCGTAGCCAGAATGACAGCATCTGTGCCGATTTACGCAGCATTAACAGCCTCACCGGTGGAGAAATGGCAAGCGACTACGACAACAATACCAACGAGGTGTTTGATAAGCCGTGTCGCGACATCGGTCCAGAGTCTGTATACAGTACGTTGATTAGGTCTGTGGAGCCGCGCAACAGCTTCCTAGATCGAAACGACAGGGAATTATGCGGTAGCCAGCTCTCGCTGGTAAGCTCGTCATCGCTTGGCCTCATGCAGGATTCGCCGGACATTACGGGTGGCGATATGAGCATTTCAATGACAACCATCGTCAAGTCGCCCGGGGTGGCAGGGGACGATGTGGGTATAGAGCCAAACCCACGCGCACCACCGCGGCCTATGCCACGGTCCAACAGCATCAGACCCATACGGTCGACGACTTCCACCACCAGTAAGGGGCCATACGAGGATTTCGAGACGCCGCAGGGCCGTCTGAAGCCGCTATCCAAGGCGAAAAGCAGCCCAGCGCACGACCTGAACGTCACAGGTACCATCAAGCCAGCCAGCCCTCGTACGACCAGCATTCGAGTTACGAAGCCGCCAGCAAAGACTAAACTCGAGGCTCGAAGCAGTGTTGGCATAAAACTCACAACAGACTCAGACGATGATGCTCCATATTTGAAGTCCACTGACGTTGCTACAAATCCTAGCAGCTCTCCTCCTCATGTAGCGGAGAGGTGTCACTCCAGCAAGCAATAGCATCTTCCAATGCTCTAGGATAAATGTGGGTGGATGTACATATATGTGTGTGTGTGTGTGTGTGTGTGTGTGTGTGTGTGTGTGTGTGTGTGTGTGTGTGTGTGTGTGTGTGTGTGTGTGTGTGTGTGTGTGTGTGTGTGTGTGTGTGTGCATGTGTGTACATTTGTGTATGACCGTTTCCTTGACCGTGCATATGTGTTTGTGTGTGTGTGTGTTTGTGTGTGTGTGTGTGTGTGTTCGTGTGTGTGTGTGTGTGTGTGTGTGTGTGTGTGTGTGTGTGTGTGTGTGTGTGTGTGTGTGCACGCGTGTGGATGCAAGCATGTGCATGTGTGCACGTACATATGTGTATAGGAGAGAGGTTATACGGAGAGGAAGATGGGAGAGAGAGAGAGAGAGAGAGAGAGAGAGAGAGAGAGAGAGAGAGAGAGAGAGAGAGAGAGAGAGAGAGAGAGAGAGAGAGAGAGAGAGAGAGAGAGAGAGAGAGAGAGAGAGAGAGAGAGAGAGAGAGAGAGAGAGAGAGAGAGAGAGAGAGAGAGAGAGAGAGAGAGAGAGAGAGAGAGAGAGAGAGAGAGAGAGATGGAGAGAGAGAGAGAGAGAGAGAGAGAGAGAGAGAGAGAGAGAGAGAGAGAGAGAGAGAGAGAGAGAGAGAGAGAGAGAGAGAGAGAGAGAGAGAGAGAGAGAGAGGAAGATGGAGAGAGAGAGAGAGAGACAGTCAGCGAGGCAAACCTCACTGTGCTGTTCAAAGAAGCAAACTGTGCGCAAGGGCTGCACAGAAATTCCTATTTTGACATTTCCATTGCATCATGATGATACCTAATGATACCCTCACCACATTGCCCAGTTCTTGCAGATAGTCTTGATATCATGAAGCATCACGCAGATGTTTCAGTGTTGTCGTTGCGCAGAGAAAGCCATTTCAACAGCAGATGACTCAACCCAACGGTTTTGGCTCGCTATTAGCTAATACCATGCGGTAACAGGTACGCTGTTTCTCACACCTACCGACTGTTTCCGTGTGCATCCATGGTTGTAGGTATTTGCATCTTCCAGCATTTATGTCCTCTTGTCATTTTCTATCTAGCCTCCCCATCTCTGAAGCACCCTTCCATTTCCTCTCTTCATATAATTCCCCCCCCCCCCCCCCCCCCAGCTCTTTATCTTAGGAAAAGTGACCCTACGCGGGGGATGAACGGACAGATTTTCTAGCATATATTTTCTTGACCGGGTGTCTTCCTTCGCTTGACTCCTTTGTAATCTATACTCTCTGATTACTATAGAGTTGTAGTGCTAGTAGTAGTTGTAGTAGCTGTAAATAACATTAATACAACAGAACTTGGCAAAAACAATTTTTCATATAATTATATTTAGATATTCTCTCTTTAAAATCCCTTCCTGGATGGTCTTCGCACATTTCATCCCTCATCTGGTAGTCTAGGACTTAAGTCTTAGAGATTTCAGACAATAATAATATGATCATTGACAAGTTCTTCTTTCGCTGGGAATTTGCGTACAATCGATGAGATGGCTTGGCCTGCAGGTCCACGTGGCCGCCGGGCACTTTTGTTTTTAAAATACTAGAGTCAGCTTTGTGTGAGCGACAATCTCTGGCCCGTGCCCCATGCGAACTACACGCCTGGTTGAGGTGCTGTGCAAAGTCGCGGCACAGCGGACGCTTGTCGACGCACGGAGCAACGCAGTGGCACGTACAATGTACATACATAATATGAGATAAACCTTGTTTTGTTCATAAATCATGTTGCTAGTGGTCTCCACCTTGTTACATACTGTCAACCAACAACATTGTACATACAGTCGACTCCTGGTATAACGATCGAGGGTCGCTATTCGCAAGGTTCACTGGCAAAAAAACGAAAGAACGAAAACGTTTGGTTCAGAATATATTTTTCGCTTTGTTCTTGTAGACTGGTGTGAGCAGAGTAGATACTGATATACTCTAACTCTCAGCTGCAACACAGCCGCTTCACCTGTGCTCCCCCCCCCCCCCCCCCCCCCGGCCCCACCTGCTCTCCCGTCTTTCGCTAAGTCAGTACAGCCGAGAAATCAACGTAGCGGCAAGCATACAGGCTATCTGGCATACGCGCACACGCACACACACATGAACACGCACGCACACACACACACACACATGCACACACACACATAGGCACATACAACACCATGTAACATGTACACGCCCGTCGCAAGAGATGCACGCAAATCTGCAAATGCACTGGATGTGCACCCACAGATTTTCTCTTATAGCAATGATAGCGAACAAGAATCTGAATGAGACAGATCAAGACTTGCGCTAGATAACTGTCTAATCCACACTAACTGGCGAAGCCATGTGAATTGACCACCAATGGCACCTGGTCTACGCCACATGGAGTATATTGGCATAAAACGGCCAAGACAGTTACCTATGCACACATCCACACACACGCATGTACACACGCGCGCGCGCGTGCACACACACACACACACCTTGCCAGAAGCCTGCAGCTTCTCAGCCCTACATGGGCACAGGGACAAGCAGGCTAGAGCTCAGCTTGCGTGGAATGCTCTGCCATGGTGTGAGTTCTGACTAGAAACCTGTCAAGGCGATCAGTCTGATACGGCGACCGCCTGTCCTACTATAGAGGGCCAGCCACAGCCAGGACCAATGGATGCTATTTCCAGTCAAATGACCCTGGATAAGGAGACCATCTGTGCACAGAGACCACATGTTGAAGGTTCCATGAGCGGTCGGCTTGGACAGCTTTCACTGTATATAATGCTGGATAGAACTTCATTAAAAATACAGAAACGGACACTTCTTTAGGTTCAAGATCACTGGTTCTTCGATTAGCTGGGTAAAAATATAATTATTATGATAGTGCTGAATAGGGCAAAAATATTAGTTCTATACTTGTCTAATAATTTTAATGATCTGTCCAGTGCTGGCATATGGCTTAGCTCCATTCTTACATTAGGTCAGTATCGACTCATTATGTTGAAACACATGTAGTACTTTTTCATTGGGGGGTAGTGTTGCATTGTATTCAGCTTGGCATTTGGAGAAGATTATGCTGGACTTGAATCCAATTGAGTTAGGGCAGTGTGGGACCATATTTACCTTATCAGCTACAAATAAATTAATCACAGAGGCAGGCCTCGACAACAATGGCGTGCATGTGTGTGTGTGTGTGTGTGTGTGTGTGTGTGTGCATGTGTGTGTGTGTGTGTGTGTGTGTGTGTGTGTGTGCGTGTGCGTGTGTGTATTGTGCGTGTGCGTGTGTGCGTGTGTGGTGTGTGTGTGTGTGTGTGTGTGTGTGTGTGAGTGCACACGTTCACGTGGGCCTGCGTGGTGTGCTGATTAACAAAGTGAGAAGATTGTCCAGCTGTACCGCCATAAATCAGCAATGAATATCAATTAAAAGTGCGGCCAAGCATCCAATCCAATTCCGCAATAGAATCAATAGAAATAGGCTTGTATCACAGAATGGAACGGAGCTGTTTCAACAGTGCGGCGTCCTTACGAGAACATGAGTTGACAACAAGATAAATAATGGGCATATACATTTCTACAATCTTCCAGTGATTTTTGTGGAATCCAGTGTATCGGCAGAGTACAGAGTACTCACAAAGCACGTTGCTACTCCGAATTTCTGTTACCATACAAATCCAGTGACAAAGGGAGGACATAAAGTACATAGACACAGCCGCGCGGTAGCTTGTTCGTTAGTACAAATTCTCGTTCATAAGTTAAAAGCAAGGAGTAGTAAAAACTGTATTTACTCCTTCCTGGTTAAACGCATCGTTTGTTCCCTTTTGTAAAGCAAAGAAGGCCAGGCAACTCACCGTGATGCGAGGTGGGCTGAGCTACCCTATGCGTGTGGTATTCTCCGCCCGCTGCCGCCGGTATTGGATTGTAATACCCGGGCGAGACCATGGCTTGAAGATGGTGCAGTGCGAGGTCTGCCGCACTGGACATGCAGTGCGAGGTCTGCCGGGACTGGGTATGCAGTTCGAAGTCCGGACTGGATATGCAGAGCCCCCGGGACTGGGAAACGGTGACAAGAACTGAAGCACAAACCTGACCCATAGCCGAGGTCGTTCTAGCGGTTCAAGCACTGAGTCCATGCCTTCTTCCTCGCCGCTCAGCACCGAGCGGGTGCCCATGCGCATCACTCTTCTTCTTGTTGTTTCCGATTGTGGATTCCTAGCGTGCGCGTATGACTTGCAGACGAGCTGTCCCCAACACGCAGCTGCAGTGTTGCAGGCAGCGCCGTCCGCACACCCTGCCACGTCCTTCTGCTGCAGTTGCTCCACCAGCCGGCGATTCTGTATGAACAGTCGCGCCGGGTCACCGCGGCCGATCGCCGTCTTTCCCTTTCCGTCACCGGATGCATTGTGATTGGCATTGGTCGGGACACTGCGGGTGGTTGGATTGCCGGGTGGGAACGCCGGCTGGGTTATATCCATGCCGCTACCGTCGCCACCTTCCAGGTACGAATAATGACTGGCTGCCGAGCTGCCCATCGACTCGCCTTGTCGTGCACGTCCATCGCGAGCGGTTCCGGCGTTAGTATCTGCTCAATGCTGTTCGTTGCAGTCGGCTGGTACTGGTCTACTGGTACGTGGCTGGCGGTGTTGCCAGCTGTAGGCGCACACAAGGTAGAGTGGACGTTCTTCATGCAGCCGGAGTGAGCACAAGGCAATACTAGAGGTGATTTACTCAGACTGGTCACGTCTTCCTCGCCCAGATGACAGATGTCCGCTTCGATGGCACTGTCGCTGGCCCAGACCTGCTGAGCGGCTCCACTGCTGCCGTATCCTTGGTGCTCCCACGATCCGTCGTCCCTCTCCAGGATCTGGGGAAATCTCAGGTGTGCAGGGAAGTGTGCGAGTGCCATCGAGCCCGCCAAAATCCAACCGCGTGCGGCCAATACCAGCTCTCGTCCAAATCTTCCGATGTGTCGCCCTTCGTTGAGCACCATGCTGCAGGCACTGTGTTGGTGGTGGTAATGTAGGCAGGATTTGACGCTGCCCTCTGGCGAACGGAGCACCGTGAGTTTGACGGTGGCACCGACCACATCGGATCCTCATTCGTCAAAAATAGCTCGTCGCAGAGACTGGCCGGGCAGCGAACATCTATGGGGCCGTCTGGCTCTCCGTCCAACGGAATATACTGGAAGTTACCCAGCGGATAGGCTGTCAGCTGCAAGCTCTCACCTGCACCGACAAGAACATCGCCATTCTCCAACTGCGAGTAATAGGTTGCATGACAAGGTTCCATGACGGTGGCCAAAACGTCTCGTATCTGATTTTTCCCTAGCTTCCCTCCATCGCCGGCTTGCGGGCTGCGCTAAAAGGGGCTCCATCGGGGTGAATCATTTTCTTCTCCAAACTACAGGGTAGTATTACCCTGTCTTCCGACTTCACAAAACATTGCATGCACTGACTTTTTCCTGGCAAGGCAAGTGGGCAAATTAGTTGATAGAATCAGATGAAGAAAAAAAGCATACTGGTAG